ATTGGCAGTCCTGCCTCCAGTGCCAGATAAAAGATACTTTTTAAAAATGCAATTTCATTGCAATCTGCAAAAGTTAAAAAAAAATTTACGTACCCCCAAACTATGAGGATTACACATGACATGTATATGTGAGTCCTGGGAATGGAACACAGATTATTGAATGTGTGCTGCAAGTGTTTTACCTAGTGAGTGAACCATCTCAACAGCCCAGTACATCATAATCTCTAAAATGCTAAATCACATATGGCAAAGCGTTAACATCATTTGAATGGATCAATGAGTGTCATTTGTGTGCATGTGTGTGCACACATATATGTATGTATACAAACATATATACATATATATACATATATACGTATTTAAACACACATGTATATATATGGGGGGGTCAAATGAACCCCTAGCTGATCCCAAATTCACTATGTAGCTAAGCATGAATTTGAACTCCTGATCTTCCAATTCTGTCTCCAAGGTGCTGGGATTACATTCATATGCCACCAAGTCTGGTTGAATGCCTGTATATTCTCTACAATACAACAAATGATTGATAAAATGGAATTTTTGAAATGAACTAAGGACAACTATAGTGGCCCACATTCTGTAGGGAAAGAGAATTGGAATTAGGAAGCCACTATTTTGTGCCCCAGTAATAATTGAAATACACCTTGCCTTCCTAAATGACATTAAACAGTTTATACACCTATTAAATGGCTTCCCTAGACACTGACAAAGTGCTAAAATAGGCAGTTTATTTTAGTATTGGCTCCTACATTTTACAATGCAAATCCTAAGGCTTAATGTTTTCCATCAAACACTCTCCCCTGCCTCAGTTTGGAATTCTTCCTTTTTGAATTCTACAACTAATCTATGATATTATATGTCCAGAAGGTCCATACCCTATGTATCCTTTATTTTACCTTATTTATATATCTGTTCAATCACTTTTGGTAGGGCCTAAAATACTGGCAGTCCTTTAGTGTGTTAAACTAATAGGATCAGATCTCAAAGGCCCTGTGCTTTGTGTGACAGTGAAACTCTGAGACAGACAGCCACTGAGAAGTGCCTGTCCATCCTAGCTTAGAAGTCTTATCCCTAGAGTCTGGGGCAGATGTATTTTCCTTTCTCTTTTAAAAGAGAGCAGAGTCAAAACAACATAAAAAGAGATCTGAGTTCTTGACGTATCTCTCCCCCATGTCACCTTCTCCCTAAAATCTGTCAGAGACCAGGAAATGTCCAATTGTAAGTACCCAGTCTTCACAGATATCTAAGCGCACTGGGAAAACCTTTGAACTTTCTTATGTATATGCATATTATATCTTACACATTCTAGCTTGAACCCCAATGTTCAACCTTAAAACAGACTTTTAAAAAAACTTCTTCTCCTTTCATACATTAATAAAATATGGATTGGTGTTTGAAAAACCCTGCCACGGGGCTCCCGGACCTCAGAGTAAGATAAGACACCTAATGAACTACCTCAAAAGGGAAACCACTAAACCACAGTGCAAACCCCACCAGTATTGAAGGCTCTAAATTCACATTCATTTTAGTTACCAAAATAAATATAATCTACCCTCATGAGATGAAACCAGAGCCCAATAAACAAAGCCACAACTGGGTATACCCATCAACATTTGAAACTACACCTTCATATGGTAATTCACAACTGCTCTGTAGTAAAGACCAACTTCCCATGTAAAAGTCATGGCTGGCCACTAAAAATGCCAGCGCTGCCCAAGGCCAAACAAACTGCCTGTGTGGAGATGCCAGCCATGGGAGGAGCAGCAAAGGGTGGCATTCATTTGAGGTTATAAGGCTGGGATTTAGATACCGTCTTGGGGTTTCAGAAATCATTTAACACAATGGAGCCTGGAGTTCTCCAGGAGGAAAAACTGACTGGGTTTGAGTGAGATAACCTTTAAGACCCATTTAGAATATGAAAGCCTTCCACCTGAGTGCTAAAATCCCTCATATAATAAGATCTAGGATTTCAATGTGATGGTTAACACATCCTCCTATTAACATCATCTGCAGAGTATTTAGGATATTTGGTCTGAATTCCCTACAACTGCACTCACTGACAATCTCACAGCCGAGAATAAGACTACTTGTTTCTCTACAGTCATCAAACCCAAGTGCTGCTGTTTTCTTTGCTTTTCAATTTTGTGGGGGTGTGTGTGTGTGTGTGTGTGTGTGTGTGTGTGTGTGTGTGTGTGTGTGTGTGTGTTTCTTGGGTTGTTGTTTGTTTCTTTGCTTGCTTGTTTGGTGTTTGAAGATGAAAGGAAAGGACAAGATGAATGGGAGGGGAGTTGGGGAAGATCAGGGAAAAGTGTGATTAGAATATACTGTTTGAAAGGATGTCTCAATAAAAATATCAATAGATAAATAAAACACACATATTCTTTTTTTTGGAAAAAAAAAAAAACAGGTATATAGTTGCCTTGAGATCAGAGCTGAGGATAGCGTCTGGCCTATCTCAGATGTACCTGTATGTGTGCATATCAACACGTGCACACACACACACACACACACACACACACACACACACACACACACACACACACCGCTGCATTTTCCTTAGACTACATCCGTTCACAGTCCTTGTCCATTATTCTATGAGTTTCTTTTTTTCTTATTAGCTAATAAGTAAAATTTCTATCTCAATAAAGCCACCACATAGCCAGCAGACAGCTACAGATAACCACTGGCTCTGTAACTAAGGACTCCTGTCACTTCACGAGTGCTTGACAAGCTTGCCAGTGAGGTTTGCCTTTTAGCAAGTACTAATTACCATAACTCAATATCTTATAAACAAATAAAATGTTTTCAAATTCTGCTGAAAGCCATGTCTCACCTTTGTTAGGAATGGTTAAAAAGGATGTTCAAGATAATTTCACCCAAGAATCACAAGTATTAAGGTGACAGAAAGAAAAACTTATAATGGTAGACAGTTGCTAAGTGTAAAAATCTTGGAGCTGGACAGGTAGGGCTCGGCAGTTAAGAGAGCTTGTTGTTACTGCAAAGACCAGAGTCAGGTTCCCAGTATCACACTGGACAGTGTACAACCACATATAACTCCAGCTACAGATAACCTAATACCCTCTTCTGGACTCAGGTGTGTCTGCAGGGGTGCATATGCACACACACAGACACACACACAGACAGACAGACACACACACGACAGAAAATACTTCATTTTACGTGTGTGTGATCACTCATTGTATGTTTAAGAGTTCAATTATATTAATGCACAATAATTTTCTTAGTACCATAAATGTAAGTAGCCAAATAGCTATATCTATTTTCCTAATAAATGTTCAAGCTATGTCAACAATCTCTTTTCATGTATTTCACAGGGTATATATCAAAACTTCATTAACATGGATACCCACAAAAGCCTCTGTCACAATGAACTGATCAAGTAGTCAAAATTAGTGTATAAATGTTTGTTCTTTCTTAGTTCTGATGCGATTGCTAAGTATAAATGTATGAATCTAACCAAGCAGCATTTCTATCATCTAAGCTCTCTTGTAAGGAGTCCACTCCACATGTTTCAGAAGTTAGAATGAGACAAAGATGAATTTAGAGGCTTTCAAACTGTGCAAGTGCTCAGGCACAGAAATTTTATAGTGAGAATGAAATTATAAAAATCCCCAGTAGCCAGGCAGTGGCGGCACACACCTTTAAACCCAGCACTCAGGAGGCAGAGGCAAGCGGATCTCTTTGAGTTTGAGGCAGCCTGGTCTGCAGAGCAAGTTCCGGGACATGCTCCAAAGCAATACAGAGAAACCCTGTCTTGAAAATACAAACACAAATAAACAAACAAACAAAATCCCCAATAATCGACTGTCAATTTGGTTCCACATGCTACCCAGAGACTATCATGAAGTTCCCATGACAGTTGAAACTTAAGCTTTTATCTGATTCAGATCACAACAACAACAAGCAGGTACAGCACAAGTCAATGGTGTGTGTGTGTGTGTGTGTGTGTGTGTGTGTGTGTGTGTGTGTGTGTGTGCGCGCGCGCGCGCTGTAGCTTCTGACTGCCAGCTAGCAAACATGACATCAGAGATAATCCCATAATCCCTACAGATCTGAAAAGGTTAAGGTAAAATCTCTTTTTATTTAAGGTAGTCTATTGAAATCTGCCCCATTAAGTTTATTTTTCTAATCTTTTTCCAATTTTCTCTCTTGCCATTCCCTTTAAAAACCCTCTCATAGTTTTGTCTTTCATTTTTCTGAGTGTTTAGGTTATTATTTTCTAAGTCGGGTTTTTTTTGGCGCTCAGGCTGGCGCTCTCTCTGTATCTGGTTGGATTCCTGGTTCTCCTGCCTCTACTGCCTGAGTATACCCCCATGTAGGGCCTGACTTTTCATTTACTACTCTACCTCCCACCCCCCAAGTAAGCCTTACACATATAGCCAACAAAACCCCACATTACATATGACAAGGGTGTCATTAAGCACTGTGGCTCTGGGATCTCAATTTAAAAGTATATTAATGCAACCTGGCCCTGTGTCAATTGTTGTAATGGATTGCACACGAAGTGAATTATGGGATCATATTATAACATGAAGTGAATTACCACAATGTGCTATTGCATTAAATTTTTGGATCCTAAGAGTATATGACCAATGGCGAGAGTCCAGTAAGTGTGGAGAAATACACCACTGGCATTTCGTTGTACATATAAAATGACTTCAGACACTTTCCTGTCTTTAACTTCACTGGGCACCGTTGTTGCATGGATCACTCACTACACAGCCTCAGAGAGGAGTGGCTACACAGCACCTGGTGGAGGTCATGCCTTGCCATTGAGGCCAACCTCCCAACGGGCTGTTGGTGACACCCATGTCAATCAAGCCAATGAAAAACTCTGTTTCCATCAAGGTCAACTCACACCGCAACTTCTCCATACAAACACAATGACATCATTTCAGAGACAATGAAGACACCAGCCTGGATCATTGCACTGTCACAAATTTCCACAGGATACAAACCTTTGGGAGGAGTGAGGTTGACTCCATTTTTAAGGCACCACTGTACTGGCAAAATTCCCAAAGAATCTGCATGGCACAGCATCGAGAGTTTGTTAGGTTCGGGTCTTAGGTCATCAATAGTCACTTGGAAAAAGTGGTTGTTAAAAACCTAAATGAAAAAAAATGAAGTCAAAAGTTAATTTTTCAGTATTGCGAATCTAAATCCTGACACTGTTTCAAAGACACTGATCATGTCCTATCAAATTGATGTTAGCACAAACCAGAATTTCAGAACAAATTACTAAGTCATTCCAATGGCTAAACGCAAAACCAGCCATGTGGTCATATACATGGAATGAGAAGTAACTAAAATATACAGGAGAAAGAAAATGAAAAATAAAGACAGATAAAATGTGGGTCTCCCTCCCATGGAAGAAAAGCAAACAGTTGGACAAATTCCTGCCCATAGAAAAATAAACTGGGTATTAAAAGGATAAAATGGCACCTAAAACTCAACAATGGACCAAACTCCTCACACTAGATCTTTCAACAGGGCTGAGTTCAGCTCTGGGAGATATCTAGGCTCATGTATTACAGCCTTCAAAATACAACATACTATAGCCAGAGAGGAAATCATGTATGCAGTACCTGTCTTTACTCCATGTTCCCATCACCACCTGTCACCTGTCACCACCAAAATATCAAATGTTCTTTGAGGACAGTGACCTCTTTTATTCATCACATGATTCACAACAGCACAGAATGTGTTTTGTACATGAATATACAATGGATGTGAGAAAGAATGCCAACGATAAAAATGAACAAGCCAAGTCTGGTGGTATAAGTCTGTCAGCCCAGTTAATGAGGCCAAGTCATGGGGGTCCCAAGTTCATAAGTGTGAGTTCAAGACCATACTGGGCAAGTTACTGAGACTGCCTCAAGTCAAAACTTAAATCTAAAATGGACACAGAATTTAACTCAGTGGTATAGCACTTGCCTAGCATGTCTCAGGTTCTAGACTGACTCTCCAATACCACAAAGAAAAAGAAACAAAGCTCTAAGCAGACAGCAAAATTAGATGACCCACCCCACACACACTCACACATGTACACAGGCACACTCATGCATACACAGACAGACAGACACACATATACACAGAGAGAGATGCAATATCTTTCCACTTTTACTTAGCTGTGGTCCCTAGCTCCCTCCACTACAAAGTATATTCTAGACAAGTCGGTTTTAACTTGCTTAACATTAAGCAAGTACAGAAACTCCAATTTGCATTTTATTTGTTGAGATTGCCTTTGAAAGTCTACTTCAAGAAGCAAAGAATCAAGATTGCCGTAGAGACCCAGCCTGTAATTCCAACTCGTGAAGATGGAGGCATGAGGATCACGGGTTTAAGAACAGCTGGGGTTAGGACAAGCATGGCCAGCTTGCCTAAGATATTTTAAACCACATTCTCTGGACTGGAGAGATGGCTCAGTGATTACCAACACTGTTTGTTCTTGCAAAGGACCAGAGTTCAATTCCCAGCAAGCACATGGTGGCTCACACCTGTCCATTTCCAAGGGATCCAATGTCCTCTTCTGACTTCTGCAAGCACCAGCCATACACGTGGTGCACAGATATACATGCAGGCAAAACAACCATACACATAAGACAAAAATTGTTTAAATGAAATCGCTTTCTGTACCAGTCCTTCATTAACCCCTTCTTGAGGGTTGCCTTCTTAGTATTTTTCTTACACTATACTGTATTTATTTCTTGTTAATTTTCTTTGTCGTCTGGTAACAACAGGGACTTGCTCTATGCTTCACTGTCCAGAGCAATGCCTTTGACCACTCAAACACTAACTGCAGGATTACTGTGATCAGTCCTACCATACATACACACAAGTCCTCACACACATTAGGATATCCCGGTGGCAGGGTATCTATCTAAACACCGCCAGACCCTGCCTACCGAGTTTCAGGATCCCTCAAACTGCACATTGATGTGAGAACACTTGAGAGAAAAGTTCAGTGACTTGTGTCACATCTATCAGGCCTCACATTCCCAGGAATGAAATTCATTCCTCTGTGCTCCCTCGGATACAGAGCTCACACATCTGCTAAGTGAAGTGCCTAAGACTGCACTGCTCAGAACGGGAAGAAACAGAAATAGAAGAAACACAATTGGAAGTGATAGAAACAGAAACTCTGGCTGTGAGTTCCCATGTCCTGTCCTCTAATCCACGCAATGCATTTCACAAGCACCAATGTGAACACCTCATCTTCCAGTGGTTTGAAATAATAGAGCCAACCCTACTAACACCTGGTCATGTAACACTCAAGCAGCTCTGCGTTTATCTGTTTTCTTTAATATCAGTTATTCTATCTTCAACAGGCTGCCACGAAGAAAATCCTCAAAGGGATAGTGTGTGAAACTTTGATTATAAAAATCAATGACAACACAGTGTAGTATAGTCTCAAGCAAAATATTCTAAGGCATTTTTCAGTGTTTAGGGAAATATACTTAATTATTTTTTGAGACATGTATACAATAAAATATGATCATATCCGCTCACTGTATTCCCTCATGTGAAAGTATATTTAATCATAAATACTTTTTACATGAAAAATATTCTGATAAAGCATCCATGAACATGTGCCTCGAACCTATCTGCCCGGTTTCTAATAAACAAAACCACACATTCCCAGCTCATGCATTAAAACAATAAATGGGCACTAAGAGAAGAATGGGATATGCATGAAGAAGAATGACGTAAGAATTTCCTCTTTGACACAAGAGCTAAGAAAAGTAATGTGAACACGTTGTTCAAAATAACTGCAAATACTTCCTTCCTCAGTGAGATGATTTAAGGGAAACTGATTGTGAAAACCTAACCTCTGTTGATGAAATTTATGATATTTGAGGCTACCTGTAAGAAATGTGTCACTAGCGCTGAATATAGCAATAATTTAAAGGTATAAAAATATGAGAAATGTAACCACTGTGGGCTGAGCAAACCAGCTCTGCGAGCTTACTTTCTAGGAATCATGGGAAGCTGGTACTGTAGTGTTTTAGCCAAGCCCATATACCCAGAAAAGTGGGTGGCTGCCATAGCTACACCACCCAACTCTGGCACAAAGGGAAATTCTGGATGAGTTTTAAGACAGGAGTACAACTCTTCAGTCTGGGGAAATTGGTGACAACTACCAGAAACATAGTAAAGCCCTCAAACACTGCTTCCAATCAAAGGTGTTTAATAGGTGGTAAAACAGCAGGGTTGCCAGAGTCTCAATCCCAATATTATCTAGCAAAGCATGTCAACTTTTCCCCTTAGTAAAATTTTAATTTACAAAAATAATGTGCTCACTAAGTAAGAAATATTTGGGAAAAGAAAAAAGTTGTATGTCACGATTACAAACAGTCTGCATGTTTAAAACGATATCACCACTAATTTTCTGATATTCTACCAAATTACGAAAAAGGAAAGAAGGAAGAGAGGGAGGGAGAGAGGGAGGGGAAGTTCAAATATAACAATGTCTGAGTTACGAGGAGAATAGATCCACTTACCTTGGAAATAGAAATTAAAATGCAATTGACCTTGAATCTCTAATCAAATTCTTCTTCTGAATATAAAAGATCTTTAACTGAAAGATACAATTGGCTAAAATGCTAAGCTTGTCTCAGCATCTCCTGCCACTTAGCAAAAGCTAATATTTAAGGTGTGAAGTGCACAATTTGAATTTGACCATTGTTAGAACCACTGGGATTTCTCTTATGAAGAAGAGATAACCTCTTCTTTAATCATATAATCTTAAGAGACTACCAGACCAGCATAAAAACCACTCTATCCAGAAAAGGAATTTCATTTTGACTGCCAGTCTCAGAAGCATGTAGTCTCCTTTAGCCAATGAAAGTCAATGATGATTTAAAAAGAGAGCAGACATGCTGGTTTGTGAGTGAAGAAGAATATGCTTCCACGACTTCCAGGTATTTTCTTGATACAAACAGGCAGTCATGAAGGTGGAGCAAGTTAGTCTTTCTTGTGTGTGTGGCACTTGTCTAGACCTGTACTTGTGTGTGGGTGTGTGCCAATGTGCCAGTCCAGGAGGACAGTAGGTGTCCTTTTCCCTGGAAACAAGATTTCTCGCTGAATCTGGAGCTGTGTTTGTGGGCTATTTTGGTGGTGGTGGAGGTGGTGGTGGTGGTGGTGGTGGTGGTGGCGGCGGCGGCGGCTAACTGGATTTGGCTAGACTGGCTAGCTAACAAGCCTCAGAAATCCTGTTTCTGCCGTCTAAATGCTTGGATTGCAGGCATGCAACATCCAACTTTTAACATAAAATCTGGGGGTTTGAGCTCAGGTTCTCATGCTTGTACTGAAATCCCTCTTATCCACTGAGCCCTGTAATCTACCCTTGTAGTGCTTGTAAAATGCAAATCCACAGTGGACAACTAATAGAAGAGGATCAGTCACTGTGTACAAGCCAGGAGGAGGTATATGATTAGAGTCCTCAGGCCCCTCTCACAGAAAGAGCTGGATGCAGAACTGGGGAGAAGGTGCATTCATCTCCTTCTGGTTTATTTATTGGGTGTTGCTGTGAGTGCTCCTTGCAAGGGCACACTGCATCTGCCCACCTCTAAAGACCTATGTGATTCACTGTGAGGGGTTGCAGGAGCAAAGGAGGAAACCCACCTTGGTCACTGATGCAGGACAGATATGAAAGGGCTCACTCATATTCACTGTCTCCAGCTTCATCCCAACTGTGAAGAAATGGCTTCGCAGGTCTGCATGGTCCTGCAGGGACAAAGGTGAGCATATTAAAGGACTTGGTAATGTGAATTAACTTGGCAACTGTCTGGATTCCGTTCTTGAGCATTTTCTTGAGTGACTGAACTCTGATGGAAATAATTAATCCTCCTCATTTCAAATTTCTAATTATTGCAAGACACTGCGGATTTAATTATTTTCTGCAGGCTAAATTACTTTTCCAAGGGAGCAGCAACACGCCTCATAGCCATGCTTTTAGATTTACATGAAGCAAAACTCACATGCCACTACATTGCTTTGATCTGGTGTTCTCTGTTGAGGACCCACACAAGTGAGGTGACAGTCAATCATCTGAAACACAGTAGGGCTGTCTTCAGAAAAAGAGCATGGCCTTTTGTCACCAAATTACACACCAGGACATCTACCAGTGAGACTTCTCCTTCCAAACAAGCTGGTGGCTGAATTGCTCATTGATTGAGTTTGTGACCCTAGAGCTTGTGAGAGCTTGCAGCTGTCCTAGCTGAACCTGATTCCTACTCCACAAAAATGATCATTGCACTTCCTTTAATAATAGGTGTCTGGAGTACTGACCCCCTCCCTGAAACCTGATATGTGAGTCCTGGGGCTTTCTTGCCTCTTCCAGAAAACCAATTCCAGTACCTTCTTCAGTCACACAGCTAAAGATGAGGTTGACTGGATTTAAGATATCAGAATTTAGCTTGCTAAACTTGAGACCATCTCATATACAGTGTAGGTAGTCATGGATAAATAAATATATGTGCATTCTCTCGCTAAGGAAATAACACATTCAAATAAGTGTACAATTTCCAAATATATCAATTGGGTGTGAAGTACAAAATAATACCTGGGATCTACTGCTTTCTTGGATCAGGAAATCTCAAGTGGATTCTGAATGAATTCCATGATGTAATTCTATATCCAACTCTAAGAATTAGACAGAGTCATAATGGGGTATGCTTGTGTTCCAGCTTCCCCCCCCCCCAGAAGCCAACCAATTCTCGCTGTCCATCAGGAGACCAGAAAAGAGAACGCTTCTTATAAAATTCTCTGTCAGGGGCTGGGGAGATCCCTCAGTTGGCAAACTGCTTTATTCAAAACCATGAGGTTTTGAGTTCAGATCTCCAGCAACCATGGAAACACCAGCTGTAGTACAAATGTCTATAACCCTAGACATGAGTGAGTGGACACAGATGGATCCAGGGGCTAGCTGGCAAGCCAGTTTACCTGAAATATCTACCTCCAAGTTCAGTGAGAGCCCTGTCTAAGAAATAACATAGAATGTTTCAAAGTAAGACATCCAATGTAGACCTCTGTCCTGCACATGTTCAAGCAAGGGTGAGTGCTCTCCCACATGTCCCACCCCTGAGATGTGGTGGCATATATCTATAATCCCATCACTTAGAGGCTGAGGCAAGTCTGAACTATATATTGAGCTTTAGCCCCAGCATGTGCTACAATGAAACCCTATCTTGTCATTTGTCAAGAGGGTAGAATATAAGCATCCATAGAATCACAAGAACACATGCAAGAACACTTGCTCTGTGTGTGTGCATGTGCACATGCGCGCGCGTGCTCACCAGTGTGTGTGTGTGTGCACCAGTGTGTGTGTCAACATGTGTATACACACACACAGGCACATACACATGTCTGTGCAAATGTCTTTTGGAGGACGGAGGGGATATCAGAAGTCCTGGAGCTGAAGTTATACAGATGGCAGTGAGCTGGTTGACATGGGTTCTGGGAACCAAACTGGTCCTTTGCAAGAACAGCAGGCACTCTTAAGAGCTGAGCCATCTCTCCAGCCCCAGGTCCTTTCAATTCCATACCTTCATAGTAATCTATGAAGCTCTCTGCATGCAAAGACAACATATTCAAGGTCTGGGTGAAGGGATTGATGCTGGGGGAGGGGGTATCAAAGGAGATGTAGTCACATGTCGGGGGATATTCAAAGGACCTCATTCATTCAAAACTCACATAAATTCCTCAGAACTAAACAACACTTTATAAAAAAGGTAATGCCTAAGGAAACTCTCATAAATGCAGATGGTGACTTTGTTGTTTACACAACAAACTTTATAAATTCCTTAAGAAGTTACAATCAACACTTTATAAAATTATAAGCCTAAGGAAAAGAGCAAGGAGAAATTCTTCAATACAGGTAGTGCTGCGAACAAAACGCTTTCAAAGGCACTTTAGAAAAGGAATTCAAAGCAATGGTCCGGGGATTTAATGTGAATTAACACAGACTAACTAAAGCAGGGCTGCAAACACAAGAGTTATTGATTGACACCTGAACTGAAAGATTAAAACCAATGCACTCCTGCAGACACCAACACCCCCAGTACTTAGGGATGAGAAATGAGTCACACTTGTGGATTTTGCAGGTAAGTGTTCTTCTCTTTTCACCAGAACTCTTTATCTTTATTCTGAAGTTATAATTAAACATCCCTGCATGTCCTCAGCAAGTTAAAGCAGTTACGATTATGATGTGCTGACAATACAGACATGCCCTGCGTAACTACAAATGGCCCAGAAGGGGGCACTGATTTCTCGGCACCCCTCCACTAGCATCTCTGCTGTGGTATGCCCCTCTACCCACTGTGCAGAGCTGCTAGGCTAAACCTGCACGTGATCTTGCTCACTAATCAAAGCAAATGGTCACTTTTTAGCTGCCTCTAATCCCCAGGGCTCTCTGTGGAATTTTCCATCTCTCAGTTTCCTTGTAAAAGAGGCCTATCAGCAATCTAGACTTCTAATCTACCCCAGGCTTAAACCCTCAGCTCCAGCACCGGTACCAACTCTGCTTTGTAAGCTTTAACACCAATCTCTGCTCTGCCAGTAGAGGCAGCTTTCCAAACGGAGTTGACCCACAACTCTAAAGACTTTCTGTCCCAGAATCTTAATTTGATGTTGATCACTAACTAGAAGATGTCTTTAACTAAGTTCACATCCATCCTGCTACATCCAATGTTCCTGACACTACATAAAAATCTCTATGGCTCAGGAGATTCATCATATAGATTAGGCACTAATGCACACTTGTCTGGTAAGAACCAATCAGTGGCTGTCTGTCCTTAGAAACAAAACATGCAGAGAGATGCTTTTTCCGAATGGATCTGAACTTTTCCTTGCAGCCCTCAAGTCCACTTTCTTAAGAACATTTGTGTGTGTGTGGTTTGGAGGGGGTATGTGTTCTGTCTGTACTGTGTGTATGTGTGTGTGTGTGTGTGTGTGTGTGTGTGTGTGTGTGTACACATGTGTGTGCATGCGTGCATGCATGCCTGCGTGCTTACAAGAGTTTTCAGTCAAACTCTTCTACTAGTAACTTATAAAACTAAATATCCCATGATTGAGACATTTAAACATCTGTAAGGGTGCATACAAAGGAAGGGCTGGGGACATGACTCAGAGGGTACAGTGCCTATTGTGTCATCATGAGGACCTGAGTTTGGATCTCAGGACCTATAGAAAGTCTGGGTACCAGACAGTACATATGTAACTCTCAAGCTGGTGGGGTAGAGACAGGTGGACCCCCTGGAGCTCACTGGCCAGTTAACCTAGTGAGCGCAGAGTTCAGTGAGAGATTCTGTCTCAAAAGAGGAAGAGCAATAGAGGAGGACACTAGAAGTCAACTTCTGGCCTCCACAAGCATGACAACACATACACACAGAAAAAGAGGGAGGGGGTGGGTGGAGAAGAGAGAGAGAGCATGTAGCATGTGACTAAAAATGACAAAAAGTAGACTCTGGGAATCTGCTAAAACCCAGGTAACTTGAACTTACAGGCTGGAGAGTTGTGAATACGGTGCACAAAATAAAAAGAAGTCACAACAATCCCAAGAAATAATAGCAAGTTTTTAGGATAACTGAGGAACTTGGAACTTGACACCATGTAGTCAGCAGAGTTCTGTGTATTTGCCAGGACATCCATAATGACTTACAAGAAAGCAGGGTGAAGACACTGTCATTAAAGTTCAATCACTGTGGGACTAAGGCAGTCAGAATCCATGCATTTACCCCTAAATGCTCAGTTTCCCCAGTGCTAAGACAGAGTTCTGGATTCCTGAAGAGACTACACGAAATCAATTATCCACTGAGAGATAATGGGAAAGTCATGTGCTTTAAGATAGAGACTGCAGCCTTAACACAGCTCTAGAATCTGAACTGCTGAATCAAAGATGGTGTTACCACTGATAACTAGCACAGAGTACTAAGTCCTTAGGACACTTAAAAATATGACTGCCACATTCAAGAAACCCTGTTCATTTACAGGGACTGGAGTTCTCTTAAATTGCTTACTGAAAATCTATTCTCCTATAATAGAGTGATGTCATTCCTATCTATATTTCAAGTTCCCATTTTTATTTTTCTTTAAAGTAGTATTTTATTGATCAAAACTAAACAACATTCTTTTTTATGGGAGCACTGCCTTAACAGGCCATCATGATCACCTCTTCTTAGGGACTAGCTTCAGTGGAATGGCATAGGAAAGGGGATTCTGTAATGCCTGGCCTTTTTTCTGCTTAAGACTCACTCACCTGCTTCCAGACCCAAGCATATCTCACCATGTGTGTGCTCTTACTAAGTCTGACTTGATGGTACAGCTAATAACTGGTAAGTGCAAGCCATAATCCCCAAGGGGTCATGAGTGCTTGCAATCACTTCTGTGGTGTTGCCCACCCCTCACAGTGTCTGTGGAGTGGGACGTAGCCTATATAGAGAAGGCCAAGGCTAAAGAAATTTAGTGACCTACGCACCACTCCTTAATAATGAATACATTCCTTTTCTACCTTTGTATCCTGGTCCATTGAGTAAGGATGAATGAAGGAATGTGTGCAACAAAATGCCTTTAGTGCTTCATCAATCACCCCTCATCAATACCCTTTTTCTGCCACCATTATCAGTGTTAACTATGACAGCTAATCTCAGCAGTGACTCCACATCAGTCTCCATTTGTCAGTGGTGTTTTAAATATTGTATGTTAATCACCAAGCTACAATTAATGGC